AATTCCACTCAGAATCACTTTAAGCCTTCCCAAGAGTTTGAAACTGAAACAGCTACACCTTTAACTGAGGCAGTGGACATCTCTGAAGAAAATTCCTTGCAGGAGCCCAAATATAATCCAGATTTAACACCTGGACAGACATATGTACCGGATCAAGCTACTGTAGCCCCTGATCAGAAGAAAAATTCCAGCCAGGATCGCCTTAAAATCAAACGCAAGCCAGAATCTACTCAAGGATCTTCTTCTGAATATAACAAAATAGAAACATCTACAAAACCCCCAAAACAAACGCTGTTAACCGAGCCATTGAAGAAATCAAATAAAAATCCCTCACATGACCCCAAATCAAATCCAGATGTAAGACCTGGATGGACATCTGCTCCGGATCAACCCGCAATAACCCATCACCTGAAGAACAAATCCAGTCAGGGAATTCCTGAAACTAAACACAAACGTAAACCTAAACCTAGCAAGCCTAAATCACAGAGAAGTGAAACCACTGCTTCACCAAAACCAAACCAGAAGTTTTTAACCCACGTTGGAGATAAATCTGAAGAAAATCTCACAAGAAAGTCTAAAAACCCTTCAGACTTAACACCTAGACTGGAAGTTATATCTGATCGAGCTAATACAACACTTGATTACATGGATAAATCCAGCCAGGAAAGCCACAAAACTAAATATAAGCCTGAAAATAACAGAGAGTATAAATTTGAGAAAGCAAACAATTCTGATGAAAATTCCTTGCAGGAGTTTATATCACATCCACATTTAACACCTGGGCAGACATCTGCATTAGATCAAGCAACAAAACACTCTGATCAGATAACTAAATCCGGTGAAGATCATCTTGAAAAGACGCACAAATCAGAAAACATCCAAGGGTTTAAGTCTAACAAAAGTGAAACAGCAAATACAAGACCTTCAACTAAGTCAGTGGGCATGTCTGAAGAAAATTCCTGGCAGGAACCAACGCCTAATCCAGGTTTAAGACCACATCGAGGTACTACAAGCCCAGATCAGATTAAAAAATCTATTGAGGATCATCTCAAATCAGAAAATATCCACAAGATTAAGTTTAACAAAAGTGGAACAGCAACATCAAAACCAATCCAGGAACTTTTTCCAGAGTCAGTGGACCAGTCTGAGGAGATTCAGGAACCTACACCCTATCCAGATTTAACAGCTGGACAGACATCAGCACCAAATCAAGCAACTACAATCCCTGATCAAATTAACAAATACAACAGAAAACATCTTAAACCTCAAACTTCTCAAGACGCTCAAAGTCCAACAGTGACACAAAAAACATTGATTGAATCAAGGGACAGGTTTCAAGAAAAAACCCTTCAGAAACCTACATCTGATCCAGGTCAACCACCTGCAGAAACATCTACAATAGATCTAGCTACAGCAACAACTTATTGGGTGATTAAAACCAGTCAAGATCATCTCAAAACTAAAGAAAACGAAGAAAAAATCCATGATTTTACATCAAATCAAAACAAAGCAGCAACCCCAAAACCCAAGCAAAAACCTTTACCTGAGACCGTGGAGGAAAATTCCTTGCAGCAAGCCAAATTGTATCCAGATTTAGCACATGGACAAACACCTACACCTGGTCAGGCAATGGCGGAACCTGATCATATGGATGCATTTAACAATGAATATATTGAAACTCAAACTTCTAAAGAGTTTAAATTTTACAAAAGTGAGACAGCATCTCAAAAACCGTCAACTAAAACATGGGACAAGTCTAAAGAAATATCTTTGCAGGAGCCCAGGCCTACACTGGATTTAGCCCCTGCAGTCCCCAATCAAACAAAAAAATCCACCAACAGTGACTCTCAAACTAAACATTCTCATGTGACCAAATTCAACAAAAGTGAAAAAAGACCAAAACCTTTGACAGAGTCATGGGAAAAGTCTGAAGAAGCATCTTTGCACGAACCAACATCTAAACCAGGTTTAGCACCTGATGAAATATCTACATCAGCTCTATCTATTGCAACAACTGGTCAGATTACAAAAACCATCCAGGACCGTCATGGACCTAAACAAAACCCAGGAAACAACAAAGGGTTTAAGTCAAACAAAAGTGATACAGCAACACCAAAATCCAACCAAAAACCTTCATCAGAGTCAAAGAGTAAAGAACAGGAGCATAAAAACAAGTCAGAATCAACATCTGATTCAGCTGAAATCTCACCAGACAAAAGGTCCAAACCTGGCAGTAATGTAGCTAAATTTAGCAAAACACCTAAACCTGGTCAAGAGAACAGACAAAACCAGAAAAATCCAAAGGTCAATCCAAACTTAAAAACAAGACCAAATGCAAACTTTAAAACCAACCAAACCAAACAAACAAATCCAAGGTTGAAACCCCTGAGGCCTGGCTTAACAACTGATCTAAAACCAATATCTGTACCTGAGAAAATCATAAAACCAGCGCACAACAAAACATCCAGACTAAGGCTTCCATTTCGACACAAACCATCAATAAGACCTATAGTCAGGCCAGGAGCTAAACTTGTCCAGAGGCCAAAACAAGCAGTGCAACCAAAGCCAAGTCCACAAACCAATACAAACCCACCTCAGATCAGCTGGGTTCCTTCAGGAAACATCCAAAACTCTCGTACTGACATGCCACCTACATCTGGCCTCGTAAAACAAATTGCTAAAGTGAGTCATACCCTGGGGGAAACAGAGTTCAGCACAAGTGTAAGGAAGACTATAACTCTAAGTCCAAAGACCTCAAACAGCTTGAAAAATGGATATTTCTCTGCCACTCACACCCAAACCGAAGACGTCACATCGAGCCCAAACACTAGGATTACGTCTGATCCGAGGCCACAAACAGCCGGGCTGCTGTCATCTGTGATAACAAGACCAAGCGACATCAATCGTAGGATCTTCCAAAATGTTATCACTAGCACCGGTCCAGGAGCTACACAGCTGAGCGTAGCTCCCAAATCTAAGGCTAAGACACATCGTGAGGAAGAAAGTCCCCATGCAGTTTCTCCCCCGAGTTTGAAAACTACCACCACACTCAGCCCCAAATTCAGGTCAAAGACTTCCTCTACCTCTGGCCCTGAGCCCCTGCCTGTAGAAATGTCCACTCCTAGTCCACGAGAACTGCGTGTGAAAATCAACCAGGTGGCTGCGTTTGTCAACAGCAGCCTGATTCCTAACAGGAGACCAGACGAGCTTCCAAAGGCGCAGCCAAAGGAGTCCCAGATCGGCGAGAGGACAGACGGGAAACTGCCAACATCTGCAGCATCTTCAGGCAAGCGATTACTTTTATGATTTCTGCATGGTTTACTATACTTGTCACATTTACAAGAAGCGTCCTGAAAATGTAGCCTCTCTTTTTCAACTGTGTTTACTGCAGTAAATTGAAAAGGACGCTTTTATCTAAGACACATTCATTCAACTGGAAAATGAAAGGAAATCCCAGGCAACGTAACAGTAAAAACAAAGAATGAGTAAACTGTATGCATCACAGCAAATAGGTCAGTATGTGCGTATCTAAAAAGGACACTTAAGTAAAAGAATTTCACGTATGACAACCACACAATAAACTCTAATGAGCCTCACACAGTTAATCAGAAAGTAGACTTCAGGATGTGGTCTGAGATCATATTAGTGCCGTGCATCATCAGGAGGAATCTGCATGTGTGCACAATGTGTCGACACGATGATCGGCACGACTGTGAGGTTAGCACCACAACAATGCACGGGCTAACAGCTTTAAAACACCCGTCAGTGGAAGCAGTGATTCAGCTATCAGTGATAATAATTAGTGATAATTTACTCACCGAGTTAAAACAGTCGTACTTTATTTAAATAAGCCGTAAACTCCTCACTATAAACTTCTCACTTAAATTACAGGGTGAAATTACAGGTGAAGTTACACAATTAAACATTTAATTGTTTTCACTGCGTCATTCTGCTTGGTTTAAATAAATAGGAAAATAAACACAGAAAAAAATAGAAATGAAAATAAGAAAACAAGAAATTCATCAGTTAAAACAAAATAAAGAATGATAGAAAAGATAGAAAAGTCACTCAAAAAATATGATAATAATTATGAAGATTATATGTTGAATTAAATATATAACAAGCAAGGAAGTTATAAGTTCAGTTTCTTTGTTTTTTTTAAAAACCTGTTTATGTAAATATTTAAATTAATGAGAACCAACCAAACTTGTCAAACTCAGTATAGAAATATGTTGCTCAATAAAATCAATTATTAATAATCAGTTTAAACAATTGTTGCTCTGTAAAATCTGTCTTTCAATAGTTTGTTTTTACCCCACATTAATGTAAAATGTAAATTTGCATAAATCAATAATCCTAAAGTAAATAGATGAGTTAAAGAATAAATAATGAAAAAACAGTTAGCCAGTTAATGACTACATGATTTAAAAATTACACAGTAAATGAAATTAATACAATTTACAATTTCTCTGGCTTTTAGTAGAAATTGTAAAATGCAATTTAAAATATATATGACACCTTAAATCACTAAAGTGTTGAATAAAGTATATATAACACCTTATGTATGACTTAAGAGTGACTTTATAACATATAATGACTGAACAATCATCAGAACTTTGTGAGCAACGCTACATTTGGCTCTGGGGGACCAAACCTGCCAAAATGAAGAAGAACTAAATAAATGTCTACATGCTTCACTATAATGACCAAGTTTGTCTTGGTCTATCACATAAAATCCTAATAAATACAACACATATGTTACAAAATGTGAAAGGGTTCACATGAATACTTTAGTGAAGCACTGTATTTTTTTGAGTCACATATTTTCATCTTTATTTTTGGCTTGTTCGGTCCTCCACATAACATTGTTGCCATTTGACCTCATCAAGGAAATTTTTCAGCCAAGTCTCAGAGCTGCAAGAGAATGTTATTACCTGCAGGGACCAGTTTCTGCACTGCAACCAATTAGTTCAATTCTGTTTTTCATTCCTCTTCCACAGTAATAAGAGACTGCTCAGACCACCTCCTCAGAGGAAAAACCAGGAGCGGGCTTTACCTGGTGACACCTGACCTCCGCAGCAGCAGCTTTCAGGTGTTCTGTGACATGGAGCTGGATGGCGGCGGATGGACCCTCCTGCAGCGCCGCCAGGACGGCAGCGTGAGCTTCAACCGCCCCTGGGTGGAGTACCAGGCCGGCTTCGGAGTGCTGGACGGAGGAGAGTTCTGGCTGGGCAACAACAAGATGCACCTGCTGACCCGGGACAGGGACATGGAGCTGCGGGTGGAGCTGGAGGACTTTGATGGAGTGACAGAGCATGCGCAGTATGAGCACTTCAGGGTTGCCAGCGAGCGGCTCCGCTACAGACTGACGGTGGGCGGGTACTCCGGTACCGCAGGCGATGCTCTGCGCTTCAGCAAGACCTACGACCACAACAACAGGGCGTTCACCACCCCTGACAGGGACAACGACCGGTACCCGTCCGGGAACTGCGGGGCCTACTACAGCTCCGGCTGGTGGTTTGACGCCTGCATGGCTGCAAACCTCAACGGCAAATATTACTTTGGGAAGTATAAAGGAGTTCGGGACGGGATTTTCTGGGGAACATGGCACAACATATCTACAGAGTACTACCCCACCAATGAGAGACAGTCTTTTAAATCAGTCAGGATGATGACCCGACCAAAGAGCTTTGGCTTGCGTTAATAAAGCGAACATTAAATGCTTTTGTCCAGGTTCCTACGAATGTTTTGTACTTTCCACTCATTTTAACAACGACTCAGTGCTGCCATCTTGTGGCCATAAATTCAGCAAAGTGGTTTAATTTACTAGATTGCAGAAACAGATGATAAGCTATTTTGCCAAAAGATATTAAGAAACACCCATACAAATCATTGAATTCAGCGGTTCCAGCCATTGCTATGGCTACAGATCAGGTATGGGCAGGTTTGATAAGTTTTGTAAAAAAAAAATGTTTTAAGTTACACTGGTAATTCAATAAAAAACAGAAATGCATTACTTACGACAACTACTGCCAAAAACTGAAGATACTGATTACAGTAATTATAATGTAATAAAAATATAAATAATAGCCCATCTGCTTAATTTAGAAGAGGGTGTTTCAAGTACATATGCTTACTGTGGTAAATATAATAAATTTTTATTGATGTTCCAAAGCGGCATAAGTGTAATGTATTGCTGTCCTTAGGAGTTTATGCCAATATGGTGAGTGTTTTTTTGCAAAGAGAACTGTTTACAAGCAGCTAAATTTGTCTTTCTTGTAACAAGGGGAAAAGTGCGGTTACTTTCTTTCAGCCAGCTGACCGGCAGTGCGCAGCAACAGGTTGCATCGGTGCAACCCGAGAAAACTCCGGCCCTTCTACCAGTTTCTCTGGCATTTAAGTAACTATTATTTAATGCCTCCATGTGCCTTCAGAAACCATCTGATGACTGCAGACTGTAAAATTAAGCACTGAGGCATTTGATAAATTCAGCTGTGGTGCAGTGACAGGATGCCACGTGTATAAAAAGCTCATTCATAAAATATTCCCAGTACTAAACATCACACTGATAATTGCTGTTGGTGTCAAAACATATTGAAAGCAACTGAGAACAACAGCAACTCTGCCTTGGAAACGGTATGCCTGAAATCACAGAGCGGAGAAAATGCTGGCTGAAGCCTCCATCTGTCTGCAGAGTCAAATTTCATGCTCTCTTTCTTTGAGCTTTTTAGAGCAGTGCATAAAAGGTTCTCACATCACCAAGTACTATACAAAGACTTGGAAGCAGAGGTGCGAAACGTAATGCTGCCAGACTCTAGATCTGGAAAAACATCCTGCTACTCTCTCTGGCTCACCAGTGGAAAAGTCTGAGTTTTCTGAGTTGTATGGGGGACACTTCTTGCCTGACTGGTGGAGTTGTTTTTTAGGAGCGGGGTGTAGAGCTCCAGCATACAAAGACATTATGGATAATTTCATGCTCCTGATTATTTAGGAAGAACTTGGAGCTCCTATCTGTTCCAGTGAGATTCTACATCAGAGCACCAAGTAAAGTTTATGACTACATGGATGAGCAACTTTCTAGAGGAGATCCCTGAATACAACTGAAAGAGCACTGGTGGATGAATTACTGTGAGCTAGATTAGATTGTCCGCCTGACCTCATAAATGGTTTCCTGGGAAAATGGTCAAATTTTCCCACATACCCTCCTAAACCTTTGTGGAAGAGCTGAAGTTGTTACAGATGAGTATGAACACATGGAAGACTATTAGGAATGAGATTTCATTAAAGTTCATTTGTGTAGAAGGAAGCATCTCAGTATTTTTGGTAATATTTTACATGACAAAGGTCACATCTTATTGATTATCTTGTGTCATTCATAACTCCTTTTGATCGTTCTTTTTTCTTTTTAACAGTGAAGACAAGCTGTTTTTCAAGCTACCTGAAGTGTAAATCTGACAGGTATAATTTTTTTTATTGGTCTGGGATGTCTTATAATGCAGTTTGTTTAATTAAAATAAACAAGATAAGTTTGATCTAACTTTGTATTGTTTAACCGTAAAACAATCGGGATGTAAAACAACGATTCGGACTTTCTGGATTAAGACTCAATTTCCCTAAATCCTTTGCGCTAATACTGACGTCATCCACATTGTGCTTCATTGTTTTTCCATTGGTTAAAACCAGAAAGGAGGCGGTTCAAGGTTTACACAAGAATATAACATCCTGTCTGTGAAGTTTGCCAAAGCAACGTGGAAAAAACAGTAGAGTGAATAAATGTCTCTTCAAATTAAAAGCATGAAGGAACAAACGTAATATTTAGCCAGGGAGGATAAGGGAAAGTGTTTTATGCTTATTTTTCTTGATTAAAATATGTAAAGATTTATAGAAGGTTAAAGTGCATTACATGTGACATTAGAACCACTGGGATACAGACGATCAGTTTGTATTACTAACCAAATAAAAAAAGTCTACAAAGCACCAAGTTAAAGGAAATAAAAGTCTAACATCCAATAAAATGTTTTATTGTAGCACTAAGCTACTTCAAAGATGTTTGAGTGTACATCTTTGTACACCTGAAGAGCAGATGTAACCTGGTTATTTTTCATCTTCAGATGATTATAAACAGAACTTTTATATAGTTTTTAGTTTTTATATACAGAACTGGAACTTTATTTTTTGCTTTTTGGCATATAAATGCCCACATTGTAGAGGTGTGTCAAATGTTTTAAATTAAATCACTTTGCTTTTCCTGTAAGGCGATTCAAAATTAATATTCTTCCTATTGAAATGTAGAGTATTGTCACTTGTCCTAGAGAGCATGTGTCAAACTCAAGGCCCAGGGGCAAAATCTGGCCCACCGTAGCTTTTTAAGTGCCCCTCTAGACTCCAAATCAAGAAGTCCTTCCAGTTTTTCATAAATCCATAAAATTCATGCAAAATTCACACAAAATCTACATTTTTTTCTGATTTTGCAGCAAATTTTTATCAAAATTGGCCAAAACCATTAAGTGACTGCTGCCTCAGCCGTACTTAATGTCAAATTATAGTCTGTGATCAATACGGTGATGATTGATAAAAAGTCCCATTTAACATCATACATTAGCATAAATATAGTAAAAATGATTTAGATTTTTGATTTGGCCCAAAATGACAATGAGTGACGCTCCTGTCCTAGAGGACCATTAAATAGGCACAGAACCTGAGATTAATATTGTGTTCACAAAAAAAATCATCGGGAAAAGGCGAATAACACTTATTGATATTTTAAATAATGTCACTGCATATGGCTACTTGAGGTCTCGGCAGCACTGACCGCAAACTTCACTTACCTTGGGCAAGCCCTGGCTACAGCAATTTAAATTATTCCATATTAGCTTTAAGAATTTTTTTTAAAAAATCGTAAATTTGAATTTGCAGGCTTTTAATCTGAAATCCAGGCGGTTCTAGTTGTCTCAGTAACAACTTAGGACGCACGTCCCGCCGGTGAACATGGACGTGTCGGGGACAGTGCATGCGGACTGAATGACTTGCACAATAAACTCAGTAGGTTGTGTTGTTGTGTTTGCGGATGCTGGACGTTTAGAGCAGCTGCTGGTCAGAGGAGATGTTGTGGACATCAGCGGCTCAGAGAGGACCCGTGGGGCTCCTCCTGCGGTGCTGGTCCCTCACATCCTGTCACACAGCTGTCACTACGCCCCGGTGCACCCTGCTTGCTTCGCGGTACTTTTCTAGCTCTTACCCAGCAAAGGCACCGACACATGACGGGGTGGAGGCGTCGCCCCTGCGGCAATGGGCCCTGGACGTCAGCCCCTTCACCACAGTGAGAGCCCGGTTGGGCTGCAACATCTGCGTCCGTCCGCTGGACGTGCACGCCTACTCCGAGGCAAACCGAGCCCTGATCTCGGTCCACGGTCCAGACAGTGACCAGGGGGACTACACGGAGGACCTGCACGTCCACTACGATGGACAGAGCCAGGAGCTGCTCATCTCAGCTGAGAAGGTGAACAGCAGCGTCACGATTGAGATGGACGCACCAATCAAAACTAGTGAGTTTTTGCAATAGCGACTTAGCTGCACATACAAACACGGAGTCCGTGCATAATGAACCTGCGTGCTTTCGACAGATCTCTTCATCACTACTGAAGGAGGAGGCAACGTGCAAGTGAAGAAGATGGAGAGTGATGTCTGCAAAGTGCAAACAGAAAAGGGCAGCTGTTTACTTCACTCTGTTAAAGTTGGTATTTCCTCATAGATAGATTTAACCAAAAAATATCAAAGTCTTAGGAAAGCAGAAAAACGTGACACAGCTAACTTGGATATATTAGCTAAAAATTGTACTCAAGTACCATTCAGTACAAGAATATAGTATTTGGTAGCAATATAAAGTGTTTGTTATTCATTTGACCTGAAAATGCTACAACAGGCCTAAAAATGGCACCAATATAGTTTGTTAAAAACAAGAAGCCTCAGTTTAGCATAAACTGTAGGTGTGTGTTTGTATCTGAGGCATTTTTGGGTTAAAACATTCTTGCTGTTTGTTCAGTGACATACCTGGAGGTGGGTAGAGTGGCCAAAATCTGACTAAAGTAAGAGTAATGTTAGTTTAAAATAATATTTATTATAAGTAAAGAGTATGGCATGAGAAAATTACTTATAGTAGTACTTATTTTTCAGAAAGTAAATGCATTTAGTTACCACTCACCAGATTAAGCCAAAAGAAGTTTGGCCTCTTTTGGCTCTGTACTGATTTTTATCCCTTAAAATAGTCAAAATAATCATGTGAAGAATTGATATGCATCAGTTTTATAATCAGTAATTGTGTTAAACCTTCAAATATCTGACACTGGCTTCATCCTCTTGTTATATCTCAGGCACATCAAGTCGAGGTCAGGTCCCAAGGCGGACATGTTACAGGTTTGGGCACCATCCATGGTAACGTGGACATCAGCACAAAGGGAGACAGCGTAAGTAGGACAGGGTTTCTGCAGCTCTTCGGTCTTATTCTTGGCAGCCATTAGGGGGCAGCAGCATCCTATTGCAGCCGTCAGCAGCAGTGAGTTGAATGCTGTGTGTTCTGATCTGAAGTGGTGTGTGTTTACATCTGAGTGCGGTCACCTGAGGTCTCGTTTTGCAGGTGGTTGATGTCAAGAAGCTTCAAGGCACAAGGATGAACATTTCCACAGAGCATGGAGCTCTGAAGGTCAAAGCCGTCTATGCCGAGTCCAGCTGCGTGTTCTCCTGCTCGGGGAGAGTAGAACTGGGTCATGTGCACGGTGCGAAAACATCTCTCACTTCTACTCGTACATGTATGCATAAAGGGTGCCTGGCTGGATTGCCATTTTCTTTCTTCTTGGCACGGTTCCATTTGATTTGTTGAGTCCAGGAATAGTAGCTTTCCTCTTAATTAATTCTCCTACCAGAGCGTTGGGTCTTTGCTCCTCAGAATAACGCTCCCTTCCACCTGCCTGTTAGCTTAGCTGGACGGCCATGCCTTGGTCGACATACTCCGTTGGCACAGTTATGTGTGACACCTGATTTTATTTAGGGGTCTCGGAGTAAGGGTGTTTAAATAAAACGCAGCCAAAAATTTTACTCAAGGAAAAGTAGCACTACTTCAACATATTTTTACTCAAGTAAAAGCAAAAAGTAGCAATTTAAGAGATTACTCAAGTAAGAGCAAAAAAGTATTTGTTATAAAAGCTACTGAAGTACCGAGTAACTGATCAAATTATCAGTCATTTAATTTGATGTTTTGGTACATCATCAAATGGACCAAAATATGGAAAAACATTTTTTAGAAAATTTGGAACTTTAAGTATCAAAATGAAAATAATTCACATAAATAAAATAATTACAAAATCAGGCAAAAGAAAAATTTTTCCAGATAATTTTTTTCCGTATGAAACTTTAGCAAAAACTGCAGGTGCAAATTTGTTCTTCGTTTAGTTAAGTTACTCATAGAGGGTCAAGTATCCAGACATTTTACTCAAATAATAGCTAAACTTCATAATAAAATTACTCAACAGTACAAAGTGTATCCCAAAAATGTATTCAGGTAAACATAACTGAGTAAATGTAACTAGTTACTACCCAAATCTGGTAATTTGTTTTCCTTATTTTGTTAATCTTATAAGCATTATCCAAATAATCTGCCCAAAATCTGTTAATATAAATATATTCTACATTATTTAAAACAGTGAGACTTCACTAACTTAAATCACACAAACGTTGAAAACCTGTAAACCAGTGTTTCTCAACCCTGGTCCTCATGTTTTAGATGTGCCTCTATTCCAGAACAGCTGATTCAAATGATTGCATGACCATCAAGTACTGCAGAAGCCTGTTAATCACCCAGAGATACAATTCAGGTGTGTGACAGAAGGGAAATACCTAAAACATGCAGGACAGGGGGGCGGTGAGGACCAGTGTTGAGAAACACTGCTGTAAACCAAAGATGCCAGATTTGACCGCACAGATGTTGATCTAGGCCAGAGTTTCTCTACTCCAGTCCTCAGCGGCCACTGCACCGCATATTTCCTCTTCCACAACACCTGATTCAAATGACTGCCTGACCTCTGCATGCCACAAAGTCCTGCAAAGTCCTGTTAATCCACCACTTATTCAAATCAGGTGTGTGGCAGGAGGGAAACGCCTAAAACATGCAAGGCAGGGCTCCTTCCGGACCGGACCTGAGAAACGCTGATCTATGACAACCTTCACCAGACTTATTGATCTTAAGGGTTAAAATAATGCTCGAAGAAACGTCTTCGTCACAAAAACAACTGTTGCCTTTAGGAGTTTCTAGTACATTCTCGTCCACAGCTGCTTTAGGTTAAATCTCTTGGTAAAGCTGAGCCATAAGGAATCTCGGGCTCAGATCCAGGCGCAGTTGATTTAAGCACAATGTGGTCCCAATTTACCACAAACCTTTCAACTATTTCGCTTTAAGATGGCTATAAAGTCAAGATGGCTGTAAAATGTGACAGCGTTGATCACCAACAACCCTGTGAAATATTTAATAAATAAAATTGATTGGGTAAGAATTTCATTGTATTCCTGAGTGTGAATTTCAGTTGTGTAATGTTATGATGTGTTTGTGTTTGAAGAACTCAGATATTTATTTTCTATTCAGTGTAGTGAAGGTAGTGATGAGGCTATCTAATCCCAATTTCTTTTTTGTAATTCATTATAGGTAACACCACAGTGGAGAACGAGTCTGGGGACACAGTTGTTGGTAAGCAGGCAGGCGGGCTGGCTGCACACTGACCCCATGCACGGTCTCTTAACGGAGTCTGAGGCTTGCTTTGTTCCTGCAGATGGTTCAAATAGTTTCCTGAAGGTTTCGTCTGTCAGCGGAAGCATTGATGTCTACGTGGGAGACGGTGGTACCGCTGACCTCAACACTAGGGACGGTAAGTACGCCGAGGACAGAGCCCAGTTTGTCCCTGTACTCCTGGTTTTGTTTTAATCTTTGCGTCATGTAGGAGCGGTGAGTGTGCGCGTCCCGTCTTCGCTTAGAGCTGGTGTAAACCTCTGCGGCGTGGCGGTGAACGTCAGCCCAGAGGTTCTTCTGCACGACGAACAAAGACGCACCGCAGACGGCCGGACCACACTGACTGGTGAGCTCCAGTCGTTGTTTCTTCATCCGATAGTGACATGAAAACCTCCAACCAGTAAATGAAACATGACATTAGTGCGTTTGTCTCAGGCTGTATGAGTGGAGAGCCTCCTGTTGACCAGTGGGTCAAAGCTCGGGCGGACAGAGGATCTGTCCAGCTGAGGACACAAAGCTGGCTCGAGTCCCTGAAGCTCAGGAGCTAAGTGACGGGACGCATCGTGATGTTCTCAGGGGCGTAAACGTCAAGATCGGATATTAATACAACGGCAACAGCTGAATGTCATTCACCTCTGTCTTCACCTCTGTCAATGTGCTGTAAATACTTAAGAAATACACCTTTTAATTTAAAGTGTCTTTTGAATTGAATGCTCTTCATGTCGGATCACACAATCATTGTATTGTGACTGTGTGTATTTAGCATTTTACATGATTAAAAAGGTATTTTAATAAAATAGGTTCTTTAATCACTCAATGAAACAATTACTGGTAGCTTTAAAAAATCCCTTTAAAATCAATGTAACAGGCATGTTTGAGTAAAGAACAAGGCGTGGAGCACATGTCATTGTTGCTGCACAGTTTTTTACTTTATATAAGTAAATTAACACTTTTTGTTAAATGTTAAACTTTATTTGTCTCATTAACAGTTTATGCTCTTTAGAAGTTGTTAAACATTTCTTCTGTGAAAGGGCACAAAATAACAATTCAGTAAAAAAAAAAAATATATATATATATATCTCCAAAAATAGACTGAAAGGGTTTAGACCTGCAATATTACCATGACAAAGGCAGGTCAATCATAACCTGGTTTAAAAATATTAGTGAAAATAAAAACACTTAAATATTTAAAGACATTTAGAAAAGCTCCTAAATTGATGGTTGGAGTGACCAGAAACAGGGGGCCTCAAATTTCTGTCCCTGATGTTGGTCTGCAGCTTTTAGGTGCGCCTCTGCTTCATCCCACCTGGATGAAATAATTGAGTCGTTTAGCAGGACTCTGTAGCTTCCAGTTGCCAGCTGAGGAGGCAGTTCAACCGTTCAGGTAGGTTGCATGAAGTATGCACCTAAAAGTCACAGGACACCGGACTTTGAGAACCAAATCTTGCGACCTCTGCTTAAAGGTAATCATTCCTTCAGGTTGTTCTGTTTCCAAACAGAATTTTGATCTTTCCGGACGGAATTGCTGCTCATGCACACAAGTCCCTCTCTCTCATCCATGCATCGTTATCCTTCGGGGCCATTGCAAACTTGTGTGCATTACAATCAAACCAGGTGGAAGGTCTGTCGCTGCTGTACTCCCAGTGCGAGACGCGTTTTTGCAGTTTTACGGCAGCCTCCCTTTAAAAAGAAAAAAAGGACATTTGCTAGATAAGCTCTTGCAAAGAGTGTAAATGTCGAGACTTTTTGACTTTTAATGTACCATGAGATGCCTGTGCAGTTGTTTATTCTGATGGTATTAAGTGGAGGAGAAATCTTTCTTAGGTTTTTAAGAGAGCGATCGGTGAGGAGTCTGCAGTCGCTCATGTCGAGTTCTAGCAGGTACTGACAGCCAGTGGTCAGATACACGATCGCCATATCCGTCATCTGAACACAAACAGAATGAGGAACTGTAGCGGCGAAAGAACGATCATATTTAATACTCTGTGTGCATCCGAGTGTTGAGAAGAAGTGTCTCCTCACACGTTGCAGATCAAACTTTAGCATTAGCAAAGAAAATCTGAATAAATACAAAATGTATTTTTCACATATGAAGTCAACCTGACTACGTGAAAAATTTGTTAAAAATGTTGTGTGGATTGGTAAGAAGAGCTGTACATCCATTTAAATCTGGGTTAAAAACTAACATCACATATCAGAAAAAAAAACACAAACATTGTGGGATTGTGTGGAACTGCTGTGCTGCTTCAAAATCTGGATAATATTGATGGAACCAGGAAATCCTGAAGAATAATGTCAAAGCACATCAGCAAGTCCACTTTTAAACATCTGAAACATAAAACAAGGTTGTGGGGCAGCCTAGTCAAAGTTTGGATTTAAATGGGAAGCAGTAGCAAGATCTTAGTTATTCATGGCCTTAAAGACTCCAGTTTGGCTGGTTTAGAAGAATCCTCCAAAGTTCCTCCACAGAGATGCAAAAGACTCACTAACATAAGAAATGCTTGACGGCTGTTGACACCAAGAGCCAGATGGCTGATTTTAGGAGAGTCCCGATACCAGATTTTTCCAGACTGAGTAAGTCCACTTCAGTTCAGGTACTTGCCGATGCCGAGTACCGATAACAAGTTGGTACTTAAACGTCACACAATACATTTATTTAGAACAGAGTGGCCCTTTTTCTTTTTAAGTCTGCAATCCCTTTGACTGTTTCAACAAATCATAAATAGAGCATGACACACGGATTGTTCCATCTGTAAATAGTTGATCAAATTACTTGTTCAGACGCGTTTTCTCGTTTTGACAGCTTGGCTAAGCACAAAGGTTCAATCTGCTTGTTTACTATCCTCTGTGTTTTCCTTGAAATAACTCCAAACTCGACATTTTGGCCACTCTCCCGCCATCTAACTTCAGAAAAGTGATATCGTTTTGGAGTATCGGCTTGTTTTTACAGGTATGAGTCCCAGTACTTGATGCTGGTATCCAGCCAGATACCAATACCAGTATCAGTATTGGGACGCCACGAGTTGACTTACAGAGAAATGACTTTTTTCCACACAGGGTGACGCTGGGTTGAATAGCGTCTGACTGCAGCTTTTTCGTATTTGCTCAGGTTTTCTTCATTTAATATCAAACCATTTTTTTTTATTTGAAAAACTTAAAAAAGAAGCAAAAACTGAAGAATTTCTGTTAGGAGAAAAATACAAACACTTTACTCTATATGCAGATGCAAACTGAACCTGTGGACATGCTGCCATCTTCAGTCTGAGGAGACTCCTGCAGTAAAGTGAAATGGCACCGATTGCTGCATCAGTCAGAGCTGGACATTGGGAAATGTCAATGTGCTCCAGATCTCTCATGTTGTCGCACAGCTTCTGCCCGGAAGGAGAATAAGAAGGCATAACAAGGGGTATAAGACCGTACTGATATCTTTCCTTTCTCACATCTGCTTCTAATAGAAAGGGAGAGATGATTCTACAAAACAAAAATCCTGAAGGAAATAAACCTGAGGCCTGAAAGATGTGTACCTCTATGCCCATATCGGTGACGAATACACACTTGGCAACTATAATCTTCTTTAGCCGTATCTTCTTAAGTGAACCCAGTCCCTGAAATGGAGAACACCGTTACAGTCATCAAGACGGAGAACATGCAGCGTGGTTCAGTACCTGATCACGGATGTTGCAGCCAGTCAGGTCCAGAGACTGGATGGAGCTGCCGTTCAGGTAATCCAAAGCCTGGTCCGTTACCTTCTCACAGTAACTCAAATTAAGGTGGAACAGTTTCTGCAACCTAATAAGTTGTTCCCCAAACACAAAAATGCAACATTTAACTTTTTTTTTCGTGCAGGTCATGAAGGCAAATATAGGGAAAATGTAGTTTAACTATGAGGATAGGATGAGCTCTGTAGTTAAATCCTGCTAAATACCTTCGTGTAATCCTCTTGATGGAGAACTCGGTAATGAGGCCGCACTGACTGATGCTAAGATGTTGCAGTTTATTTGCTGAGGAACCTTCAGTCAAGTATTTGATGCCAACATCACTCACCCTGAAAGACACGATGGAAAACGCTGCGATGTAATACTGTCGATTCAGCAAATGAAGCCAACACAACCTCCACCCACCTGCTGCAGAGTGAAATATCCAGATAATTCAAGTGTCTGAGGGAGGACACATATTTCATGCCTTCATCGGTCATTCCAGGACAGTCTACCACGTGGAGCTTGCTGAGAGCAGTGGATAAGCCACACAGGGCCTCCCAGCTCACCTCAGTTACTTGGTTGTTGCCTAAAGCACACACGAACAGGTTCCTGCACCAGTGTTTAACATCCACACATGGCTAAGAGAGAAAAAAACATCAGCGGGATGCAAAATGGTCTCACCCTCTATACCGAAACTCTTCAGATCGGATACTTTTGCGATTATTTTGAGGGCGATGTCGGACAGGAGAGGACAGCCCAGCAGAGAGATGGAGGACAGACTGCAACATCTGGCAAGTAGGCCCTGGTAGAAAAAATAAATCAATAAATAAAACACCTTGCAAAAATATTCATACCCTCTGACTTATAAAGTCGCATTACAGAATCAATCTTTTAGATTTTATAAGAAAAACCAACAAGTGAAGTGGAAGAAAATGAAACACAGTTAAAAGAAAAGTTCAGCATTAATTTGTATTCATACCCCAATTACCTTTAATAGTCTGAAATTAAATCCAATTTGTGAATAGTTTCAGTATAAATGTAGATGTTCTGTGAACGCCTCAAAGGTTCTCTAGAGAACAACTGTGAGCAAACATCGTCATGAAGACCAGGACACACAGCAGTCAGGTCTGGGATAAAGTGGAGAAGTTTAAATCCTTAATAAACATCTTTGAACAGATGAGTTTTTAATCGATCTGACAATAGAATATTACAACTTCAAAGCAACCAAAACATTCGTTCCACTACATCTGACAGCCCACAAAGGAGGAGCATGAATTTGAGAAGGAACAAAGAGGCCCTTAGTAACTCTGGAGGAGCTGCACAGAGTCGCTGCTCAGGTGGACAGTACAACTATTAGCTGTGCATGATACGAATTTGGAGAGAAAAAATCCATTGTTGGGGGAAAAAAAGCCATAAGTATTTTTTGCATT